GGGGTATCAGCTATTGAACACCACTCCCATATGCTGGAGTTCAATCCCTGGGGATTGAGTGGGTACTAGTGGTATACTGTACTACTGAGCTATATCCCTCCCTTTTTTATTTTCAATTTTGAGACAGTATCTCATTACATTGCTGAGGCTGGCCTCAAACTTGTGATCTTTCTGTCTTAGTATCCTTTTTCTTTTCGGGGAGGGGGGAGTACCAGGGATTGACACCAGGGATTGACTCCAGGGACACACAGCAACTGAGCCACATCCCCAGCCCTATTTTGTATCTTATTTAGAGACAGAGTCTCACTGAGTTGCTTAGCGCCTTGCTTTTGCTGAGGCTAGCTTTGAACTCACAATCCTCCTGCCTCAGCCTCCCGAGCCATTGGGATTACAGGTGTGCGTCACCATGCTCGGCTCTTCTGCCTTAGCATCCCGAAGTGCTGAGATTTCAGGCTTGCACCACCAAACTGGACTCCCATGGTACATTCTGGCATGATAAAAGAAAATTATGATATACAATGCATATTATTATTGCACTTAAAAAAAATTTTTGTAGTTGCAGATGGACAGATTGCCTTTGTTTATTTTTATATGGTGCTATGGATCAAAACCAATGCCTTATACATGCACTCTGCCACTGAGCTACAGCCCCGCCCTGCACTGATTTTGTTTTTTGTTTTTGGTACCAAGGATTGAACTCAGGGGCACTTAACCACTGAGACACATCCCCATCCCCTATTTTTGTATTTTATTTAGAAATAGAGTCTCACTAATTTCTTAGGCCCTCACTAAATTAATGAGGTTGCCTTTGAACTTGTGATGCTCCTGCCTCAGCCCCCTGGGCTGGTGTGCACCACTGCACCAGGGTTATGATTACACTTTATAAGTTTGGAAAGATCTGTTGTAATAATTTGAAAGCAGTCATCTCTGGTCAGCAGGATTAAAATAGCATTGAAATAGTCTTTATATGTTTCTTTGTATTCCTGTTTTCCTCAACTTCTTAAAAAAACAATAAGAAATCAATTCTGGGTGAGGTGTACATTACTGTTAATTCCTGCTATTCAAGAGGCTGGGGAAAGGAGGATGGTCAGTTGAAGGCCAGCCTGGGCAACTTATTGAGACTATGTCTCAAAAAAAGGGACAGCTCAGTGGTTGAGTGCTGGTTTATCATGTGTGAGGCTCTGGTTCCAAAAAGTAAAGAAAATGAACTGCTTTCAAAAATAGTTTTTTCAAGAGTTAAGAGTCTATGTAACACAACTTACAGTGCAGTATTGGAAGCACAGATTTATAGGTCACAGCAATAAAAAAGATGTCCCTAAAACATAAGGTAATATAAACAAATTAAGGAGGGAAAAATGAGGAAAGAACACTGAATAAGCCAAGCAGTTTGGGAAATAATTTTTTTTTTGGTCAGGGAGAAGGGAGGTTCAGTTTAGACCTTAAATTTATACTTTAAAATAAATTTTATACAGAAGGTTATAAAAGGAAATTGTAATACATTAGACAAAATAGGTGTTATAGTTTGAACTATGTCCCCCCACCCCCCAAAATATAGTGATGTCTTAACCCCTGGTACCTGTGAATGTGATCTCACAATGAAATAGGATTTTCACAAATGTAATCAACTCATGATGGGATCATACATTAAGTGACATACAATATGACTAGTGTCTATGTTAGAGAAAATTCAGAGATAC